TCGTAACTGTCCCGGTTTCAATACTCGGTAGTGGATGATCAATGCTGATGAGTCCCAAAAATAGTACGAAACGGCCGTTCAGTGCTTTCCGAATTCTGTTGAGGTTTCTTCTAGATTCGAAGAATTTCTTAATTATTATATGTATGTGGTAATGTTCCCGCATTAGTATTTGAATAATTATTCACCTTTTTTTTTCAAATTACTATTTTCATTATGTCTAGGGATCGAGGTCTCAAAATAAAACATTGATCGGTACCCACTGATAAATTTGGGATTTCAATACTAAAAAGGATATCCCACATTAGCTAAAAAGTCTTTATAAGTTTAATTGCAATGTTCAACTTCTCTACCCTAAATAACTGTTGTGGTGTCCTCCCTCTAAAGAGTGTATGTTGGACTCTTCCGACTACTATAAGATTAGTAGGAGAGAAGGCCCTGGGGGAACAGTCGCATCGATTGTCCGTAACTATGGAACTCTCTGCCTTGAGCAGAAAGGAACCCGAACGAGGCTTTGCCGCAGGGCAAAGTTTCGTCCGGGGAGGTAGACAGTTCCTGGATGCGTTCATGCGGGTTCTAAGGGAATATTTTTGACTAAGCCTACGGGCTAGGAAAACCCACGGTAAACTCGGCCTTGTGCCAAATACACCATCGTGGGGGGGACTGTTAAATATTAACCGTCGCATAGATTGTTCAACTGTCGAACTCTCTGCCTCGGAAGAGAGGAACCCGGAGGAGGCTTTACTGCAGGGCAAAGTTTCGTCCGGACAGGCCCTGAACCCGTTTACACGGCTTCTAAGGGAATATTTTTGGCCGAGCCTACGGGCTCGAAGAACCCACGGTAAACTCGGCCTTGTGCCACATACATCCCTCTTCGAGGGGACTGTTAAATATTAACAGTCGCATAGATTGTTCATCTGTCGAACTCTCTGCCTCGAGTAGAGAGGAATCCGGTCGAGGATTTGCCGAATAGCAAAGTTTCGTCCAGGGAGGTAGAGAGACCCTGAACCCAATTATGCGGGTTGTAAGGGAATATTTTGGGCTAGACTACGGGATCGGTGAACCCGCGGTAAACTCGGCCTTGTGCCACATATATCCCTCCTGGGGGTGGGGTTGGGGCTAAATATTATTGGTCGAATAGATTGAACGCTGGGTCAACGGACATATACTCACTAGTCGTGTACTTCCGTTGTACTGTTAATATATGTTATAGCTGTAACACTTCTTTTTGTTGTGGTAGGATCCACCTAATTTGCATAGTGGAGTACCGACCATATAAATATGGTTAGTACCGGGAAGAGAGGAAGGAATCAAGAGATTCAACCAGAGACTCTGCCCGACTGCGACTCAGTCAACACATTCTCCAGGAACGGTCTTACCAGGAATATACAAAAGACTATATGTAAATATTGTGTACACTTTCTTGTTTCAATACATTTTGTTCTAAGTACATTTTGTGTTGCATTATTATTCCATGCATTAGTCAAGTTTCAACACTTTTGTTATTTCTTTAAACATTTACTTGGTCACAACAATAACATAAAAAATAAAAGCAAGAATGACTACGCTCAACTGAAGAAGAAATGAAGATTTGCTTCTCGTACATACGGCCAAACATTGAAGAAATCGTGAAAAAATACGAGCCATAGGTTTCATACTGCGTAAGCTGCATACAACGTTGAATAGATACATCGAAATAAAGTCATTTCATATTCGTGCTTTATTTGATAACATTTAAATGTATACCCTTCAAAACTTTTGTTAAGTGTACCGTGATATTTTCACTTGCTTCTAGGTTTCCCGTCCCTATAAACGTTTAAGAAACACTGGTCAAAGATATAATAGTCTGTTCAAAACCAATTTGACTGCATCAATGTTTGATGTTTTTTAAGTTGTGCACTTTTTTCTTTTTCTTTCTTTCTTTCTTTCTTTCTTTCTTTCTGTAGAATAACAATAATAAACAGCACTTACCGGCGTAAAGGTCCCAGCTAGCGTCCAGCTGGCAGACAAAAATAAAGCAGGTTGTAACTTAATACAAAGCCTGCAAACTAACTGATGAATCAAGCTGGTATTTATATAGAAATACCTCCACTCAGGTACCAGCAGCCAATCACAGCCCAAGCAATGGACTATCCCACTTTAGCACAATGAGATGCTCCATGGCAACATAAATAGCTCTCTTTCTAAAGGTTGGATTATTATTCACTTAGCTTGCTCCACAACTGAGTGTTTATCTCTACCACGTGATTTTTCTACACTTTCTTCTTTTTTTTTTCTTTTTTTTTTTTCTAAAGAAAGCGACATTTATTTATTAATCTATTTACATTTCTTAAGGTGACTGGGATTTATTTCGCGCACGGAGGTAGATTGTTCTAGTTCCCTGTACCACGACTCTTCTGCACTTGCCAGATATTAAACTCACAGCTCTTTGTGTCAAGTTAATCGATGATCCAACCAACACTTTTGGCCCAATGGATAAAAGCGATAAGTCGGATCCTGTGACTTGACACAAAGAGTTGTGAGTTCAATACCCGGCTACTGCATTGGTGAAGAAAAACTTCGAGAGTTGACTTATAGGGAGAAAACTGAGACATCCTGAAGAAGCGTAAAACAATAACCATCTATCCCGATGAACGTAATAAAGGGTTCAGCTCAAAATCCCAATCACCTGAAGAATGCTGGAGCGTACAACGGCCGAAACGTCGTGAATATTGCAACAAAAATCATAAAAATAGTCCAAACAATTTAAACAGTGTAAATAATTTTATTCAGTTTTACAAAATTATGTTTTAAAAATGATGTTGCAGTTTTTTGTGTGTATATGTAAAATACATATATATATATATATGTACTAGTGAGTTAGTCTAAATGCCTTGAATCACTTTATAGTCCACCAATAGAAGGTTAACCAATCAGAAGACGTAGAACATTCAATCCGTCGTGTATAAAGGCGGCCATTTTGTTTACTCTACCCGAATGTCCATTTCCAGCTTGTCAGGCGAAGAGAAACAGAAGGACGAACTACGCTCTGCTACTTTTACCAAAATATCCACTGCTAACCTGAACAACGCTTTCCTACTGTCTTCGAGATATTCACTGCTAAACTCTGCATTCTCTACTCAAGACGACCGTCATTATGAACAACAAATGATCCTTAATAAATTGTTTTTATTTGTTTTTAAAAAAAAATTCGACGAAAATTCTTAGCTTGCATGTCGTTAAGTTGTTCTCGTACTGAATAAAGTGGTGGTAAGTTAGAGGTTTACACAGTAAGAGATACGGTTTGGGGCATATTTGGGGAAAATACCAGTTAACACGAGTTTTGAACAGGCTAAGATTTTAGTGATCGGAGATGCATCAACTTGGGAGTCGTTTGCCTATATTCGGATCACTAATTCTATACTATCCTCTATTAGTATACCGACCGCTATTCTCTATACTATTCCTCTATTCGGATCACTAAATCTATTCTATCCTCTATTAGTATACCGACCGCTATTCTCTATACTATTCCTCTATTCGGATCACTAATTCTATTCTATCCTCTATTAGTATACCGACCGCTATTCTCTATACTATTCCTCTATTCGGATCACTAATTCTATACTATACTCTATTAGTATACCGACCGCTATTCTTTATACTATTCCTCTATTCGGATCACTAATTCTATACTATCCTCTATTAGTATACCGACCGCTATTCTCTATACTATTCCTCTATTCGGATTACTGTACGGTGGTTACTTTTCGTGCTTGTATTACCGAGCAAGTACTATTAGTGCAAATGTTATTCGAAGGCGGCTGACACCAGTATTGTTCAACGGCGTTACTATAGTTGTAACTGCAATTACAAAGTCTCTACTACAATGAGCATTACGAAAGTGACCACGAGTATTCGGTGACATCGCAAACGTGGCAACGAGTGTTCGTTGATATCACAAAAGGATCATCACGTTTAACACTAAACTTGAACAGGTTAAGATTGTACAGATCGGGGAAACATCCTCTTGGGAGTTTATTTCACAGGACGATAGTTCGCAGGAAGAAGCTGTTGGAGTGGAATTTCTCACTGATGGAATACTGAAGGAATGTGGGTAGCTTGCTACAGTGTAAGTGGCATAGCGGGTCCTAACAATGAAGGTTAGATCTGGCGCATATAAGGAATGTCGTTCGTCTGAGCAGTTTCTATAGAAGTAGAGATAGAACCTGTGAGAATGTCGCCATATCCTGCCGGTGTGAGAGAAGTTTGAGGGTGGGAAACAATTCGTTAGCCACAAGACGCTTTTGGAAGAGAATTGCGGAATTATTTCGAATTCTATCTCACATTTATATCAGTCTTTCTAATCGTTACTTTTATTATATTATTTCTGTATTATGAAAATAGACAAGGGTCGTATTCACGAGAAGGAACTCAGTAATTTAAAACAAGAAAAAATTAACAATGTAAACAAAATAGAAACCAAATGGACTTAAAAATGTATATTATGACAATTGTTAGCTTTTTTTTCAAAAGCAAAATATCCATTACTTAAATACTTATTGATATTTTCATTTAATTTATCTGAAAACATCATGAAGTCATTTTGTAAAAGATACAAAAAAAGAAAGAAACTATTCAATTTCATATCGTGTCTGTGGTCGAAGAAGGCACGAAATCATCTGGTGGAATATTCTTTTGTGTTTTGCTTTTGCAAATTTTTGTGTGATTCTCTTACAATTCTTGAACGCCATTAGCGTATATTGAATATTTTTTTTCAGTGCACGAATGACATTAGTGACGCCATCTTGCTTTCTTTCTAGGTATTTAGAAGTCGTACGTGTTTTCAAGCAAGCAGACGAGAGAATCATTAGTATAACAAAGAAAGCCGAGTAGACAGTTTCCAGAATTTTTAAAGAATGGAATGAAAATTATGATTGTTTAAAATAATTTTTTTTTTCGTTTAAGCAAAAATATATGAGATAATGGGGCAAAAAGCGAACAGGTTACCGACAAGATTGATATTAAAAAAGAAGAAAGGATTTCGATGAAAGAAAGAAAGAAGACAGCAAGGTATAAGGAAAAAAGAAAGAAAAAAGAAAGAAGCGTATATTGAATAAAGAAAGAAGAAAAAAGAAAGAATGCCTGATGGTAAGCAAGAATGAAAAAAGAAAGAAAGAAAAGGTGTAACAATGAAAAAGAAAGGAATAAAGAAAGAAAAAAGAAGAAAGGATTTCGATGAAAGAAAGAAAGAAGACAGCAAGGTATAAGGAAAAAAGAAAGAAAAAAGAAAGAAGCGTGTATTGAATAAAGAAAGAAGAAAAAAAATGAAAAGAAAGAATGAAAAAGAAAGAAAGAATGGTAACAATGAAAAGAAAAAAAAAAAAAAAAGAAAAGGTATAACGATGAAAAGAAAAAGGTAATAAAAAAAAGAAAAAAGAAAGAAAGGATTTAAAGATGAAAAAAGAAAGAAAATGAAGCAAGAATGAAAAAGAAAGAAAAAAAGGTATAACGATGAAAAAGAAGAATAAAGAAAAAAAAAAGAAGAAAAAAGAAAGAAAAGAAGACAGCAAGGTATAAGTATTGAATAAAGAAAGAAGAAAAAGAAAGAATGTCTGATGGTAAGCAAGAATGAAAAAAAAGAAAGAAAGAAAAGGTGAAAAATGAAAAAGAAAGGAATAAAGAAAGAAAAAAAAAAAAAAAAGAAAGATTTCTGATGAAAGAAAGAAAGAAAAAAGAAAAGAAAAAAAGGTATAAGGAAAAAAAAAAGAAAAAAAAAGAAAAAAAGAAAAAGGATTTCGATGAAAGAAAGAAAAAGAATAAAGAAAAAGAAAAAAAAAGAAAGAGTATATTGAATGGTAAAGCCAGAATGAAAAAAAAAAAAAGAAAAGAAAAGGTGTAACAATGAAAAAGAAAGGAATAAAGAAAAGAAAAAAAGAAAGGAATCCATACTAATAAGCAAGAAAGAAAGAGAAAAACAATAAAACAGAAACGAAAAATAAGACAGCATAATAATAAGAAAGAAAGAAAGAAAGAAAAAAAAAAGAAAGAATGAAAGAAAGTCGTAGTGATAAAAATGGAAGAATAAGCAGTATTCCAATTCCAGTCGGGTTCTTTATCTTATACGCAAATACCATTGGGAAAGGTATGATTCCACTTCTCTTTCAGCTGTATGTTAACTGGTAAGACTTGCATATTATCTTAAAAAAAAATTCTTGCTATCTAAAAATAGTTTTTGCCTTTAAATAACCTTCGAAAGGTTGATAAACCGTAAAAAATGAAACAATAAATGAATAAAAATCTTCATTATATACGTCACAAATATTTTACCTGCTTCTATCTTATTCTTAACAATAATACATATTTCATTAACTTCTGTTATTCTTAAAACCCATGCCTATTTAACCCATTAGTATACTCACTTATCGTCAGCAGAACAACATGTCTCTTGCTTCATATATTGGTAGTGAGAGAAAATAAATAAATTAAAACAAAAGGGATAATAACAAGCACATAATTTCACCGTCTTTATAAGTAGATGTATTATCAGAATCGATAAGCCATGATGCCATATTTCGACAAAACCAAGCAGAAACCACCCTGACCAGGATACGAACATCTTATTCTAGCGAGTAATTCAGAAATGAGAACTGCTTCTATCCGGGATATAAGGTCACTAATTGTGAAATAGTGAGGAGCGAAGTGGTACTTTCACAGCGGATTTCTAGATATGTATATAACGAGATGAAAAATCAACCTAAATTAGAATTGATTAATTAATTTTATGCATTATTCGATGGTGTGTTCATCGTCATATACCGAGACCCGAATTACGACCCATGAGCGATCCACTTGGAAGTCTGGACAGTCATGCGTTGAAATTAAAACATATATCCTTTATTTCATCACTTTTTTAAGCAGGCCGTTGCTACATTTGACAACATATATATCTTTCTTCACCGACGCTATTAAACAGTCGGCTACTGCATACGAATACATACATATACATATGTATTTACATTCTCCTAGACACACATTTTTCTCTCTCTCTCTCTGTCTCTCTCTAACTCTCTCACTCTCTTCCTATCTCTCTCTTTTTCTATCTCTCCCTTGTATGCACGATTGGAAAATTCGTAAACTTAAGGAATTAGCACATATTCTAGGTCATAAAAATCTCCTGAGCCGACCAAGCATAGAAATAAATACAATATGGGAACCAGCAATAAGGAGTGCCAGAGAAAAGCAATGATAACAAAGTTGCAATATGAGCTCTGGTAAAAACATGAAATTATAACAGCAAAATTGCAATTGCTGGTAAAAATGGTTGTTGAAGACATTAGGTTTATAATACCCAGAAATTCATACCCAGATGTCCTCATGGCACAGTGGATAAAGGCGTTGGTTAGGTACTATGACAGGACCCAAAGAGTGTGAGTTCAATACCGGGTTAAGGCAGTGGATAACTTTCAGAGGGAAATTAGCATGAGATAACTGATAACTGACATCCATTAAACAAGGCACGTGGAACTAGAACAGTCTAGTGAGCAAAATAAAGGGGTCAGAAATTCCAACCACCTGAAGAAGGCCGGAGCGTACAACGGCCGAAACGTTGCGATAAATATGGCCACAAAGATGAGGACAATAGTCTGAATAATATAAATAATGTAATATATATATATATTTATCACACGTAAATATATATATATATATATATATATATATATATATATATATATATATATATATATATATATTACATAGCAGTAATCCAAAATTACATCATGGATGTAGTCTATCTCAGCTGACGCCGAGTATCTCAGTCTTATTCAACCCTGTATTCAGTATCAGAACTATAGATTTAAAATTTAATATTTAACAAAGACAGCATTTGAAAAATTGATACAGAGCCTGCCTATATCGAAGCCACGGAAGGATAGACAGTCCGACTAGTGGTAAGGGGAGGGCGAAAGTTATCTGTCTTAAATGCAAGGAAGCTCCACAAATTCAACCCAGATATTAACCTTATGACTCCCAATTGGATTTCTAACAAAGATGAAGTTAAACTAAAGGGAGACTAAAAACGGATGTTTATAAAACGATTTTTTAAAAATATTATTATATAAAAAACTTTTTTCCCAGTAAAAAATACCAAAATATGCTTACAAATAAGATATATAACAAGATTAAAAATAAATCGTATAATCTGCAAATTTGGTAACAACTTTTATTTCTGAACTAATATTTAAACGGTGTTTAAATCAGTCAAAATAAAAAAGCAGCCCTAAGAATTTCTGCAATCGTGTCACAAGTTTATTTACGCCTTTACGATAAAACTCTAAAGGTTTGGGCGCCAATAAATCTTTGAATGCAGTTTCTGCATCTTCATTGCAACCAAATATCTCATTGGGGTGAAAGAGAATTAGAATTCGTCGATTAACCCAGTGTCAGTACTTTTGTTTAGATAAATGGTCATTCCTGTTGTAGAGTGGTTTCAAAATGGAGGCTTGTATTTGTACTAAGTCGGTCCTAAAATAGGCTCGACGTACAAAACGTTAGGAACTTGATATAATAGGTAATGACGCAGTAATCTAGTTGTGGTGGCTGATACTTTAGTATCCGACTAACGGTCGTCCGACATCGACTGACTGACCAACGATATTTAGTCACCCCCACGAGGGCATCATGTGGCACAAGGCCGGTTAAACGTGAGATCTCCGAGCCCGTGGGATCTCCGAGCCCGTGGGATCTCCGAGCCCGTGGGATCTCCGAGCACGAGGGATCTCCGAGCCCGTGGGATCTCCGAGCCCGTGAGCTCGGCCAAAAATATACCAATTTGAACCCGTATAAACGGGTTCAGGGTCGGTTTACCTCCCCGAAAGAGAATCCACCCTTCGGCGTAGCCTCCTTCGGGTTCCTCCCCGCCCGAAGGCAAAGAGTTCAACCGATCAGCCAGTCGACTGACCAACTCCCTGAGTGACTCCTACTACTCCTACTTATTATAGGTGGGAGAGTCTATTAACTATAGAATAGGTGTGTTCCACTATAACAATTTCATCCTCTTGCTTTCAGTAAACATTGCCAGTGATGCTCTGGCTAGATTTAGAAAACTGTAAGGGCTAACACAAAAGACGGACCATTATAATCTACTCTTGGCGCCATTTGTAATTTTCACGATGGGTGGTATATAATGTTTTAAATGAAATATGGAAACACAGTGCCGTACTGTCCAGTCACAAAATAGCATTAACACTCCATGCTCTAATAATGTTGCCAGCAGATTCAGAAGCATTATCATTATCACAAACTATCGTTAACGCTCCATGCTCTGTTAATGTTGCCATTAGATTGAAAAGCATTATCACCAAGCAATAACTCATGCAAAAAAGTAAATGAATTTCTTTTGTTTTCATATTTAAGAGATATATTAAAATATTCAAAATCTGAAAGAGATTGATATAAATTTTACAAAAAGAATAATTTAATCCTTAAGAATTAGTACTACAAGAAGACGGAGTGTATGGTCGTCAGTAAGAAGATGAGCCCGAAATGCGATCTGAAGGTCCGAAACACTAGAATCAAGCAGACCCGGAAGTTTAAATACCTGGGAAGCATCTTGACAGAGGATGGTAAGTGCTACACCGAGATCTATAGGTGTATTGGGATGGCAAAGGACACATTCCAAAAGTTGGGCAGATTACTGCTAGACAGGACGATACCTTTGGTATAAAAAAAAAGAATATTGAACTGTTACGTGACATCTGTCCTTCTTTACGGCAGCGAATGTTCGACGATATTCTCAAAGATGAAGCCGAGACTTGAGACGACAGAGATGTGGTTCTACAGAAGGATGCTAATGATACATGGACCGAGCGTCTGAGCAACGATAAGATCTTAGAGAGGTTGCAAACAAGGAGGAGGCTTATTCTTAATATCAAGAAGAGGCAGCTAAAGTTTCTGGGAGACATAAAGAGGAAGGAGGGTCTGGAGAATCTGACACTCACGTGTCGAATACAGGGAAAGAGGGACAAGGGAAAAAACGCGTGACATACCTGGTGGACTTAAGAACGTGGTCTGAAGGAGAAAGCAAAGGGAAGGAACTTGTTGAGAGCTGCGAAGGATAGAGGGAGGTGGAGAGCCATGATCGCCTACGTCCTGAAAGGACATGGCACATAAAAAGAAGAAGAATCTACTTTTTGTGCTACTAATATACTAATATAGTAGAACAGAATGTAAAAGGTTTATTCAAAACTCGGATTTTATTTTTCGTACCTTATAATAATCATATAACAAGACAATTTTGAATAAAAGATATAAAAGTAGAAAACAAAAATTCATCTAGATAAAGAAAGAAGATTATTTTATAATTTTCTTTGGGAGTTCTGCTATTGGAATATTGAAAAGATAGCTTCAACAAAAACAAGAAATAAATAAAAATAAATAGACAGTATAGAGAAGCCACCATATTCAAAAATAGCCGCCATTTTTTTCCAGCAGACGACAATTTTATGCAAATGTCCAAGGCTTTCTGAAGAAGTAAAATGACGTTATGACGAAGGATGCACTCAATGTTATTATTTGACATTGAATATGACTTATAAATAATCGATTCTGCAAAAACAAATGGCAATATATTAACATCAATTCACATACGTCAACAGACACAACGACACTTACACAAAGACACAGAGACAGGCGATATGACATATACAAAAATAAAACATTGCTGAAATAAAAAAAAATGTTATACAAGGGGCAGCAGAAGTAGCTACCACATATATCTCTAAGAAAAACCTCGCACACGAGTTGAGTGATAATGTTTTCATCTGGCTAATATTTTGGCTCAGGGAACACATTGACTTTTAAAAACTGAGAGACATACCAGGCCACACCCGATGCAGGCATATCAGACATAAACAGAAAAAGCATTACAGTATTAATACTTACATTCACTTTTAGAGAGGACAGTGTTGTTGATCACCCTTTTTTGCCAGTGAATCGAAGTCTGGTACTAGATTTGTTGTGGCAAATCTCATAACAGATCTGGTGTTCATCACTCAACTGGAATTTGTGGGTTGCTTTGTTAGTGTTCATCCTACTAAGTCTGGATGTTTGGAAATGTGGCTACGCTGAAGGAAATATAACACTCATCCGGTTTAAGAGAGTTGAACTTCTCTTTTAAAACGGTGTCAAACTGGAGATCAATCAGTTCCAACTTAAACTCCTGTGGCATTGTTTCAGGGTTTTGTGTGAAGGGACATGACACGAGCTGAAGTGATGTGTCGATTTTGTCAAAATCAGAAGACCGGCGGCTGCATTCTTTATGTAGTGATTTCTTGTATTTTTTTAAATGTCGATGGGCCTCTTTCAAACGTAGGCAGTGTGGGAAAATGAGCGAATGGCTTGTTTGACATTTGCTTTGAGAATATAGAAATCTTGGTTTTGAAGGCTCTGACGTTTGTATACATTTCATGCACAAACTTTTATTTTCCTTCTAGGTTCATGTTTAGCTCATTCATCTGTTTCAGTATGTCCACAGCAAAAGCTAAATCCCAAAGCCAAATCTGTGTCACTTCAGATTTCCCAAGTGGCTCTAAAAATAAGATTATCTCTTGTTTGAGATCCCACACTGGTTGACATAGTTTCCCCAAACTGAACCAGGGGACATTAAAGTGGTAAAGCAAGTCCTGATGATCGGCGTCAGTTTCTTCAAGAAACTTAATAAACTGACAATGCTGAAGTCTCCTTGTCCGAATAAAATTAATGACTTTTACAGCTAGTTTCACTACCTGGTCAAGCTTTAATACGGATTTACACAGGGTTTTCTTGTGGATTATGCAGTGTGGAGAAACTCCTCCGTTATCTAAAAATTGTCATTAATCCCTCTGATAAAAATTAAAAGCTGAGCTGAGTCCTTTATGTCATTACTTTCGTCCAGTGCCAAGAAATATAATATAAATGATTCCACTATTTTGTTTAATTTGCTGTCTAAGTAATCGTCAATTAGTTCAATATGGAATGTAATTGTCATACATGATAAGATATTTTTTTTCAAATTTGTTCTTGCTCCCATGACACAAGATATATGCTGTCTCTACCATGCATTGTTTGAAAAACTCTCCTTCGGAGAAAGGCTGGCTGGTCTGTGTTAATTTGAATACAAGTAAATAATTTGCTTTTGTACTTGATTCTTGGATGGGAGTTTATCGGATAAATGTGTTTTGTTGATCCTGCAAAGTAGTTGCTAACCTCTGAGCGGGTGCTGTCCTTTCTTGCGTTGATTAGTTGTTAGTGTAATTACTATGCTTGTAAGATAAGTGACGGATGATGTTGTGTGCCTTTAAAACCGCAACTGTTTTTTGGCCAATAAAACATACAGCCTTTGATCGGACTTCCGTGAAAAAGTATTTACTTCTCCATTCTCTGCACTCACTGTCGACTTTTCTTTAGCCCATTCATTGTTGCAAATGGGTTCAAGACTGTGTTTAATACGGTTTAATTAAAACAGAGCATTTACATAATTAATATCTGGACGAGCCTGTTGTAATTTCTCGGGCACTGAATGAGGAAAGAAGGTTTGGAAAAGCTGATACCCACAGTACATATTGTTGGCAAGAGAAACAGACGAAAACAACGCATAACATACATAGTGACCATGAGTAAATGGATGGTAGAACAAGATTTAAGAGAAATAACAAAATACAACTTACGAAGGACAGGAAATTGTGGAGAGCTATGATCGTCTATGATCTGCACATAAAGAACAAGTTACATTATATTATTAAACAAGTATAAGAAAAATGTACAAAGAAAATATATAATGTCTTAATTTTGACTCTTTCTATGAGTGCATTAGTCTAATTATGTATCAGTCAGCAAGAGGTGACAAAATAGATCAAGATGGAATTGAAGAAGCTAGAAACGAGAATTAGAGAGAGAAAGCAATAAATCAAATTAGAAAAATGCAGAGAAAAATAAATGAACGTAAAACAAACAAAAAATGGCGAAAGAATGCAAAGAGACAGAGAAAAAGAAGAAGAAGAAGAAGAAGAAGAAGAAGAAGAGACAAAAAGATGTAAATAATTAACGTGATGAAGCAAAGGAGAGATTAGATGAGAGGATGAAGACTGTAAGGCGTTCAAAATTGCGACAAAAGATGGAGAGAAAAAGTGAATCAAAGAAGACATTGCTGTATCGTGAATGAAAACGAGGCTATGAAAGAAAACAAGTAAAAAAAAGGAACAACACAAAAGAAAACCAATGAAAACGGGACGAAAAAGAAAAAAATTGAGATGAGGAGCAAGATAAGACAATGAAAAAACAAAAGAAAAAGAGAATAAGATATGAAGAAAACAGCGAGCATAGAAAGAAGAAAAGATAATTAGACAAAATCAAGCCAGAGACGCACGGATGAAGACGATATAGTAAAATATTTTTTTATAATGATTCTCATATTGTATTAGGCCCAAGAAACACTCGAAGTAGAGAGTAACAATGTAAGAGTGGAAGCAAGGTGTTAATGCTACCAGGATGTAAATGGCTGCCGGAAGTGGAAGAGAAAGGGAAGATTTAGAAGGAACCGGAAACCCAATGCTAAACAGGCAACAAGGAGGGAAAATAGCATCTACTCCTATTTAAAAGATCGAGTGAGGAGTGGACGATATATGAACCTATTTCGAAGAAAAAAAAAAGAAAAAATAGAAAACAGAAAAGGAGAAAAGGTTGATGATGGCGAAAAAGAAGAAAGAATACAAGAAAAAATAGAAAAAAAAGAAAGAATAGAAGAAGGAAAAAGATAGAATATCTTTATACAGATGACACTATTTACTCCTGAGTTTGATCGGGCGTCCTGGGTATCACAATAAACTACGTCCACGTCCTGGGTAAGACGATAAATTAAATCCAACGGCAAAGTCTCTGACCAGGAGTCTTTGAGGCGCATGGAACCACTTAATCGCTGGTGTTCCCAGGTCCAACATTATCCGGCGTGGTAGCACCTATTTGGGTTCCAGATATGTGCAAATAGTTATTCCCCTCCTAGGGTGGGGTCAAAATTCTATGAAATAAATTTTTGAAGAAAAATTTATTACCGGAAATATATATTTTTAAAAATATTACTAGCAATAACAATCTTGTCGGCATTAAACTGTTTTACGGCATATCAACCACTGAGGTTGATATGCCGTAAAACAAACCAAACCAAACTAAACCAAGTCTGATCGGTTCCATATGATCAAATTAGAAGCTGATCTTTAAAATGAAACTGTTATCCTTTAGTCATCTTAGAGAACCATTATTGTCTTCCATTTTCCTGGATAATGCCAACCTAAAGAAGATCAACTTTCCCTCTTCTCAGTTTTAGGATTAACAATTCCAATGTCGGCTGCTATGAAAGCTGTTTCACTGTATCGTTCCAGGCAATTTTACTCACCAGAATAGTTCTTGCACATTTATAAATCTACCATTCTTCTGTGCATTGAATATTGCTGCCAGGTCTGGTACTCCTGTTATATATCCCGACATTCTTGACACTATCCTAAGAAATATCTGCTGTGTAATCTGACCTAGGCATTTGTCTTCGGTCAGTTTCCTGCCACAATGGCATAGCTTCCCTTTGCATTTCTTATAAATATTCTAATGGCAATTGTTTTGATTAAATTTCCCCATTGATACCTCCTGTTCATGAATTTAAGCGTACAACTCGACTAGCAAAAATGTCTCATCAATTTACTGTTGAATTAGCTTGATGTAATCTTAAGTTATGTTCTTATAAAATGTTCTCACACATGTCTCGCTTGTGGAACTCTCTGATGGCTTCTTGCTCCCCTATCAAATACAATCTTCAAAAATTTAATATATCATTCTCTTTCTGTGTTACAGAATCCTGTTTTAATTTTCTCCTCACTAATGTTTTCTTTTCACTCCCAGTAACCCTCTTGCGTCTTAGTGGCATTATCCCCTTGCTTGATGTGCAAATATCCGTAGAGTTGATTTCTTAATTTTAAAGATATTACTTTGTATTTATTAATCATAAACAGTTTCATGGTTACGTATTTATCAACAATAAACAAATATTTAAATGTTAACGACATAATATAAAAGCTCTTTTTAGAATAATCTTATATGACATAGCAAATACAATCATGATCGGATTAAGTAGTGTAATCCGATGAAATGCTTATCCTCTAGGTGTAGTTGATAGCTGATTATTTCCAATATTCGGGGATTTCCGTGAAGTGATTTCCCGTTCTTTCTTAATTCCTTTCTTTCGTTCATACTTCCTTTTATTTATTTGTATACTTCTGTTCTTTTATTGTCTTTCTTTTCGTTATTTCTTTGTATTTTTATCATTTACACTCTTTATTCTAAATTTATTCGCTCTCTTTTTCCACCGTTGTTTATATATTATCTCTTTCTTTCTCTCTTTTTATAATTTCCTTTCTTCAATATTTTCTTCAATATTTTATCGCCTTTTTACTATATTAGTAGCTACATATAGTGTTTTCATTTCTTCCTTCTTGTCGCAAGATGAAATGTCCCACTACTCCCTTTTTATCGCCCGAGCCTACGGGTTAGAATTTACTTAAATTAGTAGCTACATATGAACGGTTGGTAGATATACTTCCTCAGGAATTACACCCTTGGGATTCCCTTTTTTGTATTCTCTTTTACAAAAACCTTAGTCATCTAGAGCGTGGAGATTCGTCCACCATTGTCTGTTTGTAACCTCTTTAAGGATACAACACTTCATTTATTATTTTGCGTTAGATTTACGAAATTTTAATCGGTAGAGCCTCTGCAAAGTCTATATTTTTTTGTGTTATTTTATCGAAATATTATTTCAGATGAACAGCTATATTTTGTGATATTTTTCCGAGCGATTAGAAATAATGAACCCGTTTTTATAATCGTATAAAACTTTTATTGTATTTACAATCCTCAATTGATGACAAAGACATGCAACAATTATCTTAATAAATGATGGATCCAAAAATGTCCTATTGCTAAACTTTAGTTCCAAAAGTATGAATTGGGTTAGAGAGAAATACCTATGAAAGAGAGTCGGCTGTTCGGAAAATAATGTCCGATATTATAATAATCATTATGTTCAAATATATTATTATAGCAGTTGTTACTCATTTCTAATGATAAATGTGTCCACTTTCTTAATTCTATATCTATCGCCTTAAGACTATTATTTTTTAGATAAAGTTTATCTCTGGTTGACCTTTGAGGCCAAATGAAAGACAAAATTAGGAAGTCGATTTTGATTGACTGAACGAGCATGGGAAAAGATATAGATAGAAAAAGATTTTTCAGGGAGTTGGTTCTTATACCTCAAGCAATGTAGACGTGATCTCTTTCACAAACGGCTCTCCAGTAGAGAGAGGAGGGAATCAACTGGATAAATGTGTACACGTTGTCGACATTGATAAACTAGATAAATTAAAATTCCCTGTGTTGAAGTTCTTTTCTCTCTGGACTCAAAACTAGCAATCATCGGCCGAGAGAGCAGAATGCATCTTTATTATCGAATTGACGACGTCGACCAAGACCTGAAGCACAAGAGTGAAGATATAAAACAATTATCTTATTAAATGATGGATCCAAAAATGTCCTATTGGCCGACTTCAAATGAGTTCAAAGAGGATAAAGTATGTCAGAGAGAAATACCTACAAAACAACTGTTCGGAAAATAATGTCTGATTTTAGAATAAAGCTTTTGTCTTCTAATATATTAGGACCTTGAATAAGTTCTCTCAGATTTTTTCATAAAAAGTAATGTTTTATTTGTTAGACATTTTCATGACGGCCATCCTCGAGTATAGAATCCAGAGGTTGGCAGTGAATATTTCGGAGACAGTAGGAAAGCGTACTTTAGGTCCGCAGTGGATATCGCAGCAGAGCGTAGTTCTTCGGTCTGTCATGTTCGCCTCACAAGTTGGCTCTGGTCATTCCGGTAGGTAAAACAAAGATGGCCGCCTTTATACACGACGGATACAGTGTTCTGCGGCTCCTGATTGGTTAATCTTCTATTGGTAGACTATAAAGGGAAATAAGTCATTTTGACTCGCTCACTAGTTATATATATAGTATATACCCAAAAAACCGTAACATGATTTACAAAAGTCAATAAGTAACATGTCAATGAAAGTATTGTCCATTGCTAGCCACTACTACTTCCCATCATTCTGACAGCATTTGAATTTTACGTCGGAAAAAACGACACGTCTTTTGAGGTTAACCACGAGTCGACCGATGTTTTGGCATCTTCATAAGAATGAAAGTCCTACTCATCCAGGCCATGTGTCATCGATCGGAACAAGTGATAATCGGACGGGGCAATGTCTGGTGAATACGACGGATGAGATAGGACCTTCCATTTTAAGCGTTTTCAAGTAGGTTTCCATGAGTTTTGCAACATGTGGCTTAGAGTTGTCATGTTGTAAAATGACTTTGTCGTTTCTCTGCTCGTATAGCGTCCGTTTTTTTTCTTAAATTCTCGGCTTAAAATCATCAGTCGTAGTCGATGACGATCGCCTGTGATCGTTTCGGTCGGTTTGAGCAGCTCATAATGAACTACACCCAGCTGATCCCTCCAAATTCAGGGTAGAAGCTTCGAACCATGGCCGGGCTTAGCCCGCGATCTTCTACGCTTAGGGTTACCGTAGTGTATCCACTTTTCACCGCTTGTTGAAGCACTGTTAACACGTAACATGACGCCGTTTGAAGTCTCTCGGCTTCAACTCGTACGGCACCCAATGTCCTTGCTTTTGAATCATTCCTTATATTTTCAAACGTTTCGAAGCTGTTGTGTGTTCCACTCCTAATGATTTTACATGTTTTGCCTGCGCCTCACATAAGTATTCATGAAGCAATGCCTCCAATTCAATTCTTCGTCTTCAAACTTTGTCTATACGCCAGAGCGATCTTTATTTTCAAGATAAAAAATCATTATTTATGAAGGGTCTAGATCACTATTTGTATGCTTTCTTTCTATAGAACATGGTCGTCGCAAGTCTCAACAAGAATTATGTGCGCTTCGGCTGCGGATTTCTTTTGAATAAAGGTAGTGCATTAAAATTCCCCGCAAATACACTTTTTCTGGCATGAAACCCGACATGTTTAACGCTATGAATTTCAAGCTTGCTTATAGCACTTCCTTATAGATGCCTTACTACACGCA